AGGCTACATGTTATGGCTCATCAAGATCAAAGCAGCTTTTAAAAAACAAACATTCTCATGTTCATCAGGGAGAGTTTTAAAAGTTCAGCCCTCTGGCAACACCTAGCCCTTTGGCTATTCTTCCAATCCAGGGGGGCAAGATAGACAAAGTCAGCCACCATTCCAAGCCAGATTCAACTTTCCTGAGAATTATGCAAGGATGACCTTTTAAGATCCAACAGTCAGGTTTGCATCCTCCCCCGTGAGTAGCTGTAATGTGTAACACAGCTGTAAGAAGCAACTAACCTTCAGGCTGTGAACAACTTTTGACTTTTGTCTGTAAATGGCATACAAAATTGCTGTGACAGCTGAGCTGGTAGCTAGGAGAATGAGTTGACCAGTCGAAGGACGTCCACCTGCATCCATTTTGTGTTCCAGCCCCAATATGTTACTCTGGAAAGGGGAAAAAAGGAAGAACAGCTTTGGGCGCCTGGGAACCTTCCCCTGTGTTACTTAATGTCCATCTAGAAGAGTTCTGGGGAACTCTAAAGCTTGTGCACTACATCACAATGTCCCAAGAAAAGATACTCTGCCATTTTTGCATAGAGATTCATTTCCGTTTAGAATATAAATGCTGGCAGCCAACTGCATCTTTTCTCAGCACTAACCAAACACCCTAACGAAGACTTATGTGGTACTCAAAAGCTTGTGCTGTTTTGTGATACTGTGGTATTACACTGTTGTTAGTTTGGGATTTATTGTACAGACCAAAAAGACGTCTACGATCTCCATCTTTCCAACGAAAACCTTAGTGGTAGTGGGACCTGCCAGCAAGCCCAGTAGAAGTCCCCGCATATGACCCCTCCCCCCAAGAATCACAGCCCCGCGACTAAAACTATCGGAGACCCTACAGAATATCCCACATCTTCCTCCGCGTCCCACTCTTGCGTCCCCATGGCAACGACCCTGTCCCTCTTGAAGCCCCCACAGCCAGCCTCCGCGTTGCCGTGGCAACACAACCCTCTCTGCCCATCCCCTCACGCTGGTCACAAAGTCTTCACCGGCGGCCTCCCAGCTTTTAACCATCACCCCTCCCGAGAAAAAATTTCGCCCTCCTTCCAGCTCTACCCTGTTCTGAGACTCAAATCTTCCGGGACGCTTGCAAAGACAGAGCGAAAACTTCGCTAGCGCACGGCGACGCCTGATGACGTCAAAAGGGGGCGGTCACTAGAAGGCTCTGAAAGGCCACACAGAATGAGGCTCCCGGCTTCCGGAGGAGCGTCGCCGCTCTAGGCCTAATTAGCTCTATGGCGAATCCGCCTATCGTGTCGGAAGTTTGGAAGCAGAAAGCCAAGTCGGGTTTAAAGCCGGAAGTGGTCTTGTGGACTTGCCCGGGGAGGGTAGCTCTAGCCTTTTGTAATGTCTGTGGTCAGTACCGCTAGCTTAGATCTATTTCAGGCCAGGCTCTGTCCAAAAGTATAAATGGACAAAAATCCGACGTCAAAAACAAAATAAAGGTCTTTGGGTTACCCCCATCACAAATGAATTAATCTGGCAAGCGGCGACTTAAATGTGTGATTTTAAAATTCATTTAAAAGACTTAAGACTGTTCCCAAAAAATATTTCTTTCATGCCACCTTCCAGAGTGAATGCTGAACATTTGTCGTTCTGGGGCGGGCGGGCAGGTGTCGCCAGTGCTGAATTTATGCAGAACGTTACATCAGCTGCTGTTGGATGCCCCCTTCCCTCGCCTCCCTTCTGCTTCCTGGGAGCGCCAGAGTTTATGTGGGGGTCTGTTTCCTCCGTGGTTCTTCGCCAGGGTTTTTTTCCTGCACCTCTCCTTCGCCAGGTGGACATTTTGGGGCGACCTCCTTGCACAAGACAGCGGGATAATGATGGAAGAACTTGTTGTAGGTGTGGGCTTCCCTCCTGAAGCAGAGGCTTGCTTCCCGGTCGCATTCACACACCCGGGTGGGGCAGCCGGACTTCTCTCCGTTCTCTGCCAGAAATGATATTGCCCCTTACCACGGTGGAATGAAAACGAAGACAGTACCTCAGGTTGCTAACCTCGTTTAGATCTCTTGGAATTAAAACTAATTTCCAGACTACAGAGACCAATTTCCCTGGAGAAAATGGGTGCCCTGGGTTCAATACTGTTCGGAAGTTTCCCCCCTGCTTCTGCACAACATCGTACACCTCCCATGAGTTCTCCAGCATTTCTCTGATTTTTGGGGAGAAATCGTAGGAAAACCTGGATGGCTGCCATGTGGGTGGAAAAGTTCAGATTTCCCTGTCCACATGGTAAAGGTAAAGGTTCCCTTGCTCGAAAGCCAGTCGAGTCCGACTCTAGGGTTGTGGTGCTCATCTCCGTTTCAAAGCCGAAGAGCCAGCGCTGTCCGAAGACATTTCCGTGGTCATGTGGCTGGCATGACTAAACACCAAGGTGCACAGAACGCTGTTACCTTCCCACCGAAGTGGTACCTATTTATCTACTTGCAATTTCTTGCTTTCAAACTGCTAGGTTGGCAGGAGCTGGAACGAGAGACGGGAGCTCACTCCGTCATGCGGCACCCAGGTCTCGAGCTGCTGAACTACCGACCTTCCACAGCCTGCAGTGATTTTTTCCCCTGATCCTGTCTCTGCAGTGCCCATTTCTTCCCCACCACCACCACCACTGGGGGGGGGGGGTTCAGAACAGTATCAGCAATCGAATATCATCATATCAATATACCAATACATGTATCAGGGTCTCTAAATTATCTTTCATTTGTAAAAAAGTAAATCCCAGTTCCTTTAGTTCACAGAAAACCTCGGTGGTTTCTAAGTTTTGGAAATCATGTCTGCACCCTTGCAGAAAAGCTACGTGTGTACCCACATAAAGCTTGTCTGTGTCTCACAGATCCCTACAGTACATTTCTGTGCCACATACCCTAATGCACATGTTCCTCAGTTCATCTGTCTGAGGAGGGAAGAGGCTGGCTGATGCTGCATCATGGTAGGGTTGCCAACCTCCAGGCGGCACCTGGAGATCTTCCATTATTACAATTGCTCTCCAGGCAACCAGTATCAGTTTCCCTGGAGCAAATGGCCGCTTTCGAAGATAGATTCTATGGCATTACACCTTGCTGAGTTTCCTCCTCTCCCCAATCCATGCCCTGCCCAGGCTCCATCCCCAAAATCTCCAGTTATTTCCCAACCCAGAGTGGGCAACCTTAACCATGTGGCAGCCACCACTTTTGCTTTATTTGTTTGTTTGTTTAAAATATTTCCTGTTTTTCTTCCAGTGAATGGAACTCAAAGCGACTTACATCAACATCACAGCAATGACAATACAAATAAAAGAAAACAAACCACAACTTCGTTGCAGGTATCCACATCCTAGGCCTGACGATTTGTTGGCACACCAGGAACTCTTAAAGCGGTTTATAACCCCCCCTCCATGCTTTATGTTTTATACCCATGAGCTAGAGTGTCAGCTGAAAGAAAATCCTATATTTTTCATCACTCAAACCACAGTTTTCTGTTGCAGAGCAAATATGATTCACTGTCTACCCCCCGTTTCTTCCTTTTTAAAGCTGGTGTCTTTTCTTGAATGAGCTCCTGTCACTATGGCAGGCTACTATTGGTTAGCACCAGTGCCATCATTTCTTTCCCCCACCTCTATGCCTGCCATCTATGTGCTCACACCAGGGGATTTACCCCGTTATATCTTATTTTGCCCATTATATACTAACCCCAGGGTTAACTTTTTGGCAGGAATTTTATCTGCCATAAACTCCTGTTCTGTAGACCAGAAGACTATATTCCTGCTACCAGATTATGATGCATATGTATCCTACAGAGTCTCTCTATTTGCATTTGCAGCAAAGAAGTTAAGGTCCAAGAGGGCGGTTTCTTGAAACTGCAGTATGTTAAGTTTCAGTCTGTTTTAATCACAAATTTTTATATTTTAGTTTTACGGTTTTATTTATCACTGTATCATGTGGCTTCTCAACTTGTAATGGCCTATGGCTTAGGGTTGCCAGATCTGGGTTGGAAAATACCCGGAGACTTTGAGGGTGGATCCAGGAGGGGGGTTTGGGGAGGGGAGGGGCCTCAGCAGGGTACAATGCCATAGAATCCACCCTTCGAAGCAGCCATTTTCTCCAGGGGAGCTGATCTCTGTCAGCTGTGGATCAGTTGTAAAAGCAGGAGATCTCCAGGTCTCCAGGTTGCCTGGAGGCTGGCAACCCTAAATAAGCTATTTGATGGACTGACTTTTCCACTGTGGTTCCCGCCTTGTGGGATGGACTGCCCCAGAAGTTCAGAAAAATTCTCACCCTCCTGGCTTTCAACGAATGATGCAAAACCGAATTTTTCAAGAGGGCTTTTCTGTGTAAGTCACCGGGTTGCACTGTACAAAATGGTTTTACAAACTTGCTTGGATAAATGATTAGGGACTGTAGTCTACACTGCTATGTACGGCATATTGTACGCAGGATCCTATTATGTAATTTCTGTACTGCTTAATGTGTCATCTGACTACTTATGCCAGAGGTCCCTAACATGGAACCCGTGAGCGCCATGGTGCCTTTTCTGCCACCCACCAACTGTTTTTAGCAGGTGGGTGGGGCCAGGTAAGGCTTTTGCTCAACAAGACTTCTGAATTGGAGATTTGACTGGCTGTGCAGATTCTTAAAAAGGTTGCTTCGGCAGCAACTACCACCACATCACAAGGATCTACACTATATTACTGAAGTTAAGATGCAGCAATCGTTTTTTGGCTGGCTCCACCTCCCGCGGCAGCCATTTTAGTGCAGCCATTTTGTTGCTGCGCCCATCATGCCACGTCAGAATTCCAAATGTGCCTGCAGGCTCCAAAAAGGTTGGGGACCCCTGACTTATGCTACACTTCACTCCTTTCAGGTGGTTCCAAACTTCTAAAACCCTAACGCATTGGTTATTGAATGCCCCGTTTTGTTGATTGTACCAGCTCACTCTGTGTAATCTGCCCTGAGTCCCTGTGAGATAAATAAATACATAAATCCCGAATGTGTCCCAAGTGATGGTCAGCCCTGTGAATGGCACTCACCACAGAGAACATCATCGTTGACAACCAGGAAGCCGTAATGATCAATCATCGGGTGGCACTTCTGCACTTCTAAGCTCTCATAGCAGCAGCCAAGGTGGTAGCAGCACCTTGAGGGGGACAGAAGCACAGGGAGATGGGAGGGACAAGCCCCCTGTCAACAGCCTAAGCATCTGCATGTCACATTTTTACTCCCAGACTCTGGGGCAGGGCCATAGCCAGAAAATGTTGGGTGGTGGCAGGGCTATTTTTGGGCAGGAACGCACAGGAACGGAGTTCCGGCTGGCTCCCGAGTTGGCCACGCCCAGCAGGAACTCATTAGCATAATAGGCCACACCCAACAGCAGGAACTCATTAGGATTGGCTACATTAGGGGGGTGTGGCCTAACATGCAAAGGGTTCCTGCTACAAAAAAAAGCCCTGGGTTTTGACAACAAACAAGGTAAACAGAATAAGAAGCAAAAGGTGGGTGTGGCTGGATGACCACACTTCTGGTAATGTGGGGGTGTGGCCTAATATGCTAATGAGCTGCTCTGTCAGGGGTGTGGCCTAATATGCTAATGCATTTCTGCTGTTGGGTGTGGCCTATTATGCTAGTGAGTTCCTGCTGGGCTTTTTCTACAAAAAAAGCCCTGGGTGGTGGGGCATTGAGAAATCTGGGGTGGTAGAGGGGCGGGGGAGGGGAGAGAGAGAAGAACCCACCACCACCACCACCACACCTCTCCAACTGTCGGAGAGGCCTGGGCTTGCTGGGTATTTTTCCTGCTTCTGCAGCCTAACAGCTGTTCTCAGGGAGTGAAACCGACCAGAAGCGGCAGGGCAGTTTCCCTTTCATTTCCCCCAGCAGAGGGGAGGCTGGGAGAGGAAAGAGAAGCCTTCAGCTTCACTCCTTGCAGGTTTTAACAGCTGATGGGAGGGGAGTGAAACTGACCAGAAGCAGCTGGCGGCTTCCCTTTCCTTCCCCAGCTTCCCCTCCGCTGCAGGGCGAGGGGCACCAGGGGTGGAGGGTCCAGGGGGGTCTGGCATCCTCCTGGGACGGGGCAGGGCTCGTCGGCAGTGGGGCACCCCCCAAATGCTGCACTGTGGCTATGGGGCCAGACTGAGTAACCCAAACTCACA